CTTGCCCTTATAACCAAATGGACAAGGCCTCATTAAGGCAAGAGTTTCTGATAAAGTACCAAGTGATGCAGTGAGGCTGGTCTGGGAGCCAATGACCCGTCTGTACTAATTAACATAAGTAGTGAACCATGAAGAACATTGCTATCACTGCCTGACAAGTGGTGAGATGTTCCTGACGTTGCTGCAGCCATAACATCACTCTGCTCTGGCTTAATGTGGACTCGCTGATACATGACATCATAAGCCTCGCTGTCTGCTACTCCCTCCGATTTTTCCTGTTTTGTTGTTTTGCAGCACAGGGCTCAGTGAGATCATTAAGAGTCAGGGCTTCCAGGAAATAAAGGTTCAGCTTTTCCTCAGAATCATCAGGCATTTAAAGAAACAGATTTGGGTTATTTTTTTTTTTCTTTTTTGTTTCTCGACACCATCTTAATTGAAAAGCAGAGATCGCAGAGGTTTACGAGCTCATTTGCCGGTTCTTTTAAACCTGAAGGTGCCCTCAGAACACACACCAAGAGCAAAAAAAACAACCAGAGATCTTTGTGTAGAATGATAGAGAAAACCAAATCCTGTTAGATTTTTGAGCATCTACATTTTTGAAAATACAGGAAAATGTATCTAAATTTACAAGAAAAATGTTGTAAGAAGTCCATTTATTGCCCGGTAAATTGATAGCGAGTTTTGGGTTTCACAAAAAGCAGCGCCCTCTCTTGGATATGTCTCCGCCTGTAAGACATAGTCTGGAAACTCACTATTCTAAATATGACCGGAACATTTTTTACTAAAGATGAAAAACACCTGAGTCTGAAGGAAAATAAACACAATCGAGGTTCAAGTCAACCCTGTTTTAAGATGATCTTTTTTTTTTTGTATTCATATAAAAGAGAGACGTCTGCCCTCTGAGTCTTTAACCTCCGCTGCTCAGTCGTACGTTCTCCCTTGAACCTCTCGATGAAAGTCTCAGCTTCTTCAAAATTCAGGTCAAACCTTCTGTTTTTTAGTCAATGCCGATGATTTCAAGTTAACAACCACAGCAGGTCTCATTATTGTCTCACAGACGCCGCTGGTTAAACGGAGACATTAATGTATTAGTGCATCTTCAGGTGTTTTATTATTTTGCTCCGTCATGACATTACAAACCTTACAGTCACTCTGGCTCCCGTCTTTGTCCCTGACGTTAAAATACCTCCAAACTCCTGACATTTTTGACCCACTTAGCGTCACCACTCATGAGGACAATGAGACCAACACGGGCCGACCGCTGTGCAGCTGTCGTGGTGAAAAGCCGTTCCAGTATCAGGTCGCTGGATCGCCACGATTTGGAGAACCAGTAGACGAATGTAGTATCGGATATAATCAGCCGACCAATATTATCGTCGGATATTAGCTCAATTATGTAATCTGTGTGTAATCAGATTACACAGATAATCTCTGTGATCTGTAGGAATCGTTATCAGTTTTTCTATACCTACGTTCCGCCCAGATGATGTGACCTAAAAATATCTGAAAGTGAAACTATTATTAGTATTGTGTCATTGTGACACAGCACAACAAACTGCGTCCTCTGCCTTTAACCCAAATGGCTGCATATATCGGTATTGGTTGACATCCGAATCTAAAGTTATATCGGGAAATCGGATATCGTCTGACAACACCACTAAAAACTGGTATACTATTCCCTGGTATTTTAGCTTACCTTTCTTACCTAAAACACCAGTGAAGTTCTGGGTATTTTTTATGGCTCTAACTAAAACTAACACGTCTTGGCGGAGGTTGGGTTCTCTAAGTGCTATGTGTCACTTCCACCACTAGAACAACCTTCAGTTCCTCGTTATTCCAGCCCCGTCATGCTACTTTGGCCTCTGTGTATCTTAAACACTCCACTGTGTTGCCTGTGTCGGTCGTTCCGTCTGTGCTCTGTCTGTCAGTCTCCCCAGCTTTCCATCTCTGAATCCTAGCAGCACTGCCACTCAGCCAGTGGAAGAACGCTGGGCGCGGTGCCAGCCAGCCGGCCAGGGCGCCAGTTGGGCAGTCCATCAGTAGCATTAAAGACATGTTATCCACCCGAGTGTATCCCCCTGGCTCTGATCACCTGTCTGTGCCCCCTCCCGCAGCCCCCGGCTCACTCTGGGGCCCGGGGTAAAGTGCATATAGTCCCTGTCTTGCTTTATCAGCACGGCTCCCAGGCATCCAGCCGGCTGCTCTGGGTCTCTTTAAACATGTACACAAATAAATGAGGAGTGTGCTGGAAATAACTACTTTCTCATCTTCAGCCAGAATGCCATGGTGGTCAGGTCATTGTCTTTAAAGGGACAGGGGCCTTAAAATAAGCAGACCTTCACTGACCCTCGATGAGCTTTGGTTATTTTCTGTCTTAAATAATACAAAGTCAGCGCGGTTAAATCTGTCCTCCTGTGATAGAAAATAAATGTTCGCTTCTGCAGAGACTTGAAAGAACGGTTTGTTTCCTGTTAGCGCTTTTATCGTCACAGCTAAAAATAAAGCTGTTGCTCTGCTGATTCCGAACCAGCAGAACTGTCCTCATTCAATCGGGTTTCATATAATCACCTCTGATTAATGCACTTTATGATGTGTCAGATCTGCACGGTTCAGAGTGACTTTGATCTACGACACTGAAGCTCATAATTATACGTCTTGATCTGACGTATATGTGACCACTGTTGACGTCTATAGAGGCTCAGACCATAGGAAGCCAAAAAGTTGAAGTGAAAACATCCCTAGTTAATGAGACACTCATTAACAGGAGCTAAAGATGCTAAAGCTAATGTAACAGTAAGTGTTTATTGACTCTGATCTGAGGGTTGGGTTAAACTGTAAGAGTCGGTCAAAGGTTTAAGTCGATTTTTCAGTTTTTTTTCCAAGCAGACGGAGCAGAAGGCAGAGATTCCATTGTCAGGGAGAAGCGATCGGGAAAGTTCTCTGTAAAAGTAATAAACCAGCTCCGAATGACTCAGTCTGACGTGACGCGGCTTAATGACAGGGCACGAACATTTGCCCGAATTTGGGGTTTTGAGATTAATCTGTGGTCCATAATTTTGGTGCTCTCTGAACAATTTATCTCTGTTCACCACAGTGATCATGGCCCGCCGCTGCCGCAGGATGAAGACCCTTGATGGAAAACGCCGAAGGTAAGGCAATTACTGTCATCTCAGCCGTGGATTTGTCTTTTAGTCTCCGTCTATTCTCTGTTGCTTTTGGATAAGGATGAGACGTCTGCAGCCGAGACAGCCTTGACGGCTCGCACATGATCCGACATCGTGTAGGTGTTTAAATTTAAAAGTCCATTGAGTTGGAATAATGGCTGCTGCTACATGTAAATCACCCTCACACACTTTCAGTCAAAAACTCAAAAAACTCGAAAAAGATCAAATTATTCTCCGGTTTAGGCTGAAATATATATTTCTTTTTTAAAAAAAGCCTCAATCTGTGAATATGATGCTGAGACAGTAATGGACCAAATGACTTTAATACTGATCTCCCTAAGTCTTAAAGTCACTTGATAAGTCTTTGCGATGCCTTCAGGGACTAAAAGATCACTTCTCATGTAGCGATACACTCGATTCACAAATTTGTTTCAATAAAATGCACTCCAGACAAACAATAATGATTTGAACTAAACAAAAAAATAACACATTTCTTTACAGAAACACTGTCCGTCACCATTTATTTTACAGAAACACTGTCCATCACCATTTATTTACTCAAAAACTGTCAAACTGGTCTTATTTACCTTGCTAAAATATTAACTAAAAACAGTTCATTTCTTCAAAAAAACAAACAAACCCTTTTTGTGTCCTATTGACACTGACATGTTTTTCTTTTATTTTTTTTTAGTCGTGACATAGAAGTGGTGGATCTGATGTCGGAGGTAACACGGTGGTAACTGTCTTTAAAGATTTCAAGGTTTTGTCATCAGAGCAAATGTCTGGATCTCAACAAGAATCGGTGAAACACACGAAGGAAACGTCCTGACTGATGAGTTGATGAAGACTCTGTTACAGTTTAGTCCATTTAAAATAATATTCCTGTGAATTATTTAATCTCCGTGTGAACTGGTTCAGACGCTGCAGTATTCTCCAGGTGCTGGTGTGTGTGTGTGTGTGTGTGTGTGTGTGTGGCCCAAAGGTGCCGTACATGTCAGAGATTTCTTACCTCATGGCAAAGGCATTCGCTGAGAGAAAGTACAGAAGCAGCAGTAAACAGAACAGGGCTTCGAGCCCACGTCGTCTTTGGGAGCGATCACAAAGTTAATGAATAAACCATCCGTGCACGGGGCAGAGGGAGGCGGTGTGATCTGACATTATACTGAGCATTTCCTGTTTGTATGGAACGTGGCACTTTCTTGCAGTTTAACGCAGTTAAAGCAGCACAACTATAGTCACCGACTCCACAGGAAACGGACGCATAAACAAACATTTCTCTACACGTCCACCGTCCTAACACATGTACACAGTGTATGGAGTTTATCTAGTACAGTGAATCTCCATTAGTTAATGTTCTAAAACCTTCAGCAGCAACAACCTGACCCGACACCATCAACGATCTCCAGGTTTAATCCAAACACAGTGAGAACGTTCAAATATTTAATGTCATTATATTAATGATATCATTAATAACAATATACAAATTCATAGTATTAATATCAAGCTATGGTTATAATTAATGCTAGCATCAAATTGACTGATGTAAAAAACATGTTACTTAATAAAACATGTTACTTAATAAAGGAAACATCTTTACTAGTGGAAATATTAAAGGTATATATATATATATATATATATATATATATATGATAATATCCCATTTGTAATTCTGGAAACTGAAAACAAGTTCTTTTCTTATTGTCAGTATAGTTCCCCAGCTGGATCTGTTAGAGAACAATAATATCTTTAACAGGATAATATTTGAGTTACACAAAAAATTTGATTTTTTGTGATTTTGTGATTTCAGCGATTTTTATTTCCAAGGTTCAAAAACAAATAAAATAAATTAGAACATGGTTCAACTCAACGGAAAAAAATATTACTATGTTACTTGTCAATAACTGGCCGAGAACGGGTCTTTTCATGTTTTTGTTGAAATGTAACAACTTCATCAAATTATATCATCAGTCACAGGGACTTTTTGACTTAACGTTGTCAAGGGAAACACTTGAGCGGAATTACAGCTAACAGCAGGGAGTCAGGAATTACAGGCTAACGTTCTGATTTACTGCACAGGAATATATTTCATTTCACAGTCCTGTTAAAACAGATCAAACCTGGGAAACGTTTTTATTTCAACAGCATGAGGAAGAATGATGTCTAAATAATCCAGTCGTTTGATTCTGTAATAAACTGACGAGATATTTTCTGACTTTTTAACCTTTGAGAACCTTAATAGAATGTTCTGGACTTTGCCATGTCCATCAATTAAAATTCTTAATTTTTGTTGTTTTTACAAAGACAGGGCTGTCTGTACAAACTACGACAGAAACAGGGCTGTCTGTACAAACTATTTGTTTAGCTCGTAGCCTGAGTGGAAACTCAATGTCAAACTAACTCAGACGCAAATGTAGATCTGGATGGATTACGATGAATCGTATATTTGAAGAAAAAAGTCACACGTCAAGTTCGCGTCTCCGTCCTGTTTGCCGTCTAGACTTGAGATTTGACCCTGGAGTTCCGTTTGTTTGTTGGCCTTGACTGTCCTTACACCAAAGTGAAATTTGTTACCAGACAAGGACCTGGAGCAGCCACATGAGTTATGACTCGTGTCTGGCAGGAACAAAGGTGAGGGAGTGAGGCATTGTTGTAATGCAGGGGGAACCAGAGGCTGAGATGAATGGATGGACGGGTCGGGCAAGTGTGTGACTTTGACGTAGGACCAGGTCTGTTCAATCCCCGCCAACTCTGTCATTTATGGGTTGTTTTTTATTAACAAAATAAAAGCCTCCTTCTTTCTTTTGTTCACCCAGAAAAATAATGGCTGGGATACATGTACTAAATACCCATAAATGTAGACACAGTATATAGTACAGTAGTATATATTACACATTTTTAAGCCAGTGGGGAATTTTACTAGACATGTGTGATTTAAATGCACTCAAGTTCTTACTGCTGATTTATATATATTTTTTATTTTATTTTAGTTTTACTACATGGAGTAAAGTTCTCAGAAATAACATAATTTATTTTATTTTATTTTTACTACATGGAGTAAAGTTCTCCATGTAGTAAAACTATTATAATAACTAATTATTTTATCTGTTCATTCACATTTGTTAGTTTTTTCAAATTGTCTTTTGTATTTATTATTATTATTATTATTATGTCCATTTGTTAGTCAGTAATAAATGGTTTAGGCTAACTTTTCTGCTAACCTTTAGCTGTCACTTTTAGCCGTCCAGACTTCTTTATCTGTATAATTTTTTTCAGGTTTTTTTCAGAGCTAACATTTGTCAAATCTCTGTCTTTGGCTGAATGTAATTGTAACAGATGCTTCACGTTAAAGTGATCTGTGTTTTACAAAATCACAAATGGCATTTGTTCATTTTCTTTTTTTCATCCTTCTCTTTGTTTGTTTATCCCTTTCTTTTGTTCCCTCAAA